GTCACATAATTTTAGTTGCAATTTCATAGGTGTGCCTATTACACGCATTAATTTACCTATATCTACGGCTTTAACTATATAATATTATATTTACTTATAGATTATAACATTGTTTCTGCATTTTCTATGTTCTATGATAGTTAGGTACAATATATCATAATATTTATAATTGACAATACGGGTGTTGTTGGTAACATATATTTTAATGAGGAAGTGAACTACTTTACAGGTCGACGGTTGGCTATATACCGACGGAAGCACGTGTCGTCTTCTGTTCTAATATTCTATGTTTCTTTTTCACAAATGTGTATGATAATTAATTGTGTATAGTGTATACTGTMTACTAGTATAYTACTATAGTAGTCATACACAACATACCAGCGTCCGTAGCTAGGAATTTTTGGCAAACGTGGAATTGGTTACCGTTTTAATTGATCAATTAAAATGTACGAATTGGTTCATGAAAAAAATAATTTCCAGTATACAGCTGTTCGAATTGGTTCCTGAATAAAATTACTTGTCAGTTTAACAGTATACATCTCACTGTTACAAGATTCGTGTATGTATAATCGACAATCTTATAATATTTTATTAAGTTTTACGATGTCTGGGAAAGTTTATAAATATAATTTTACATCTAATAGATTGATTAGTTAATGGAATTAAAGTAAAAAAAAAAAAAATACTGAAAAGGAAAAGTTTATTGATGAAAATACATCATATACACAGAGTTTTTCGTTATAAAGAGTTTTCACTGTATTAAAAAATTGAAAGAGGGCCAAATTTCGAACCTACAATTCGTTAAAAGTGTGTGTTGTAAATTCATACCACACTAATTTTTTTCTAATATTATTTAGGTACCTATTATAACTTATTTTCACATTATTATTACTTATTTAATGTAAGTACAATTATTATTATTGAAAAATACATATGTATCGAATATTATGTATATTGTATATATTAATACTGTATATTATACTGAGCAACATTTTTAACCATGCCTATATGTATTCTAGGTAGTGTTTGAAGTATTCGAWCTTATTTGAATTCTGAACAGTCCTGAGTCTGAATTAATGGGAAGGAAATTGTTTCTGGTTGAATATATCATAATAATTTGAAAAGCGAATTTAACAAGGTTGCATTATCATGAAAGCTTGCGGGAACCAATTCATATGTTACCTGTAGAAAACCCGGGAAGCAATTCGTAGTCGTCCGAATTTTTTATGGGGAGGATCCATACCTCTTTCATACTTCCTCGTTCCTCATAAAAGAATTTCCTGGTAACCACATATAGTAAAATGCATTCAATGACTGGAATTAATTTGTCTTATTATTTAAACTCTTAATATCAATAATCACAATGCATTACAGGCACTATGCTATAAATTTAGTATAATATAATAATTATTATTTATTCAGTCAAAAAATWAAAATGATTTTAAAATTAAACATTTTTAATTTTAGACGGGACTTTAATTTTACTGGACATTTATACATTTTCTACTTTGTTAAAGGGAGGGGGGTTGWACCCCTAAACCCTCCTCGTAGCTATGRCCCTGCAATGTACATATACACTGAGATTCTAGACATTATTTTGAGAATTTGTTTCAGTTATATATGTAAACATCTTTTTGTTATAATTGAATAATWCAAAATAAGAATTTTYAGTTTTTATGCATATTTTTAACTAGGTATTATAGTTTTAAAATACCTACCTATTATAAGTATAGTTACCTATAGGCTGYAAGAATAATTTATCGCACACTGTTTAGATAATCACCCGGTATTAGTATAATGTATAAATAGTAATGTTTACCTACTTATTATAATAGGTAGCTGTTTTAAATTCCACAACGTTACGCCGTTACGCGAACTTTATGTATTATTCAATCAACTGCAATTCGGTGCAAACAAACGTCAAGTATAAATTTAACGATAACAGGTGTCAGGTACCTACCTRCAGTATAATACTTATGTAGTTATGTATTATTATGTGCATCCGAGAGTACCTATTATAAAATGTTGTGTTTTTACATCTGTCTTGACTGGTTATACGTTTGCGGCAGGTGGGTTGGTCTATAATATCGCGTACCTATAGTCTTACAACAAAACTATATTATAATATAACAATCTACTTAAATATGATAGCTCATAGGCCATAGCTGTCCGTATAATATGTCATACACTCATGATACGCACCTATTATTGTAATACAAAATATTATATGAAACGTTACTATTTTCTCTTTTTGGAACGATTTCGATACGGATAATTTGGTTTGAATATTAAAAATTTAAATGTCTAAGGTAATTTCTATACCATTGTACAACTGTACCACACAGGAGTACAAAGTACCTTACCTATACTAAGTATGTATTACCGATCACACTTTTTATTCAGATTTGTAAATTGTACCTACCACCTACTACCTTACAGGCTTTTATAACTTGTTTCTAGTAAGTAACTTAAATAGTGTAACAGACGTAACAGTTATACATTTATTTAAATAGGCAGGTAGATTCATTTTTTGTCTTTAGTACTTATAGAAGGTAGATGTAATTGGTAAAAAGATAAATAAAAATGTATAAATAATTGGTTAACATACTTAGCATAAATGATATTATTAAAGCATAGTATACATTTACTCTTTGTCTTCTAAGTTATTCAATCACGGCAAAAGCTAAAATAAGTATTATTTTATTAAATTTTTAAAATAACTACCAATCAAACTATACACTATTAGATATAAGGATGGACAWWAACTGGTACAAAATTGAAATCATTTATAAATGGAATGTATAATATGATTGTAATTATAATATAAATTATAACATTTATGAAAATTATGCTGAACAATCACTAGACCTAGTTGAAATAAAATAAGTTTGAGTTACATTCATATAGACTTAAATTTTAAATTGTTTGATTTTTATCATATTGACTATTGTTGGAGTTTATTGATGTGTTTTAATTTTTTTTTAGATAAAGACATAATCAATGATTGTATAATATTGGTTTTTTAATGAGAAGGAGTTGTTTTGTGTATGTAGATAATTGGATTTTGTTGGTAATTTTATAAGGTAAAATAGAAAATGTTTTTTTTTTTTTAAATTAAGAAAAATGGGAATTCTTGCTCAAACCCAGATTTAAACAAAATTTATCTTGTTTTTTGGTTGTAACTCAAAAATTAAAACTGTAGATACTTAAAATTTTTACTCACTAGATAGGTATCTTATTCTAATAATTCACATAAACATTATGCAAATTTTCTAAAATAATAGTTAAATTAGGTAAATAACAATAAATATATTTATAAATGTTGTGCAAGAGAAGTATTTAATCATGTAACATATTTTTATCTTCTGATATAACCCTACTATAATTCAAACTGTTATACAACTTACTTACCCAAAGTGAAATAGAGGTAAAAATTAGAAAAATACATTCTTGAACCTTCATTTTTTTTTTTTTTTATAAACGTTTAAATTATTTGTATGCTGATAACTGACAGTATTTTATGTGTAGCTACTCATTTAAACTTGATATTTATAGATTTATGCAACTGTCGAGCTGACAAAATRACAGGATACATGATTTAGTAAATAAATTGTAAATAAAAACAAACAATTGATTTGATCCATATTTAAACAAACAAAAATGCAAGCATATACATAATTATTGCTTTATATATTAAAGATGAAAATTACGATTAAACTAATAGTTTTCTAACAATAAAAAAAATAAAAAAAATTCTTAATAGCCAATAGGTATAAACATCTTAATAATGTTGTGAAAAACAAAATGAATCACTTTAATAGGATACAATTGAGATATGAAAGATTATAATTATTATTTTGATC